TCCTCAACCAAATGGTAAGTTCCTTCCATGAAAGGACATTTCTTTAGTATAAGCCCATGACAGTACTTTCCAGATGTTCCAACTTCATACACCAGCAAAATTTAAAAGAAGGGAAGCCAGCCTTTTGTAAAGTGGTCAAGAGTGAAAATGAACTGTCACTGGGACACCTAGTTGGGTTGGCTGCCCAATCCTACTTCAAATGATTACAGCACATGGGTGATGCCATCCAACCATCTCATCTTCTGTCATCCCCTTCTCTCTCCTTCAATCTTTCCCAGCATCAGGGTCTTTTCAAATGAGTCAGTTCTCCACATCAGGTGGCCAAAGTATCAGAGTTTCAGGTTCAGCATCAGTCCTTCCAATGAATATTCAGGACTGATTTCTTTTAGGATGGACTGGTTGATCTCCTTGCTGTCCAAGGAACTTGAGAGTCTTCTCCAACACCACAATTCAAAAGCATCAATTCTTCACCACTCAGCCTTCTTTATAGTCCAACTCACACATCCATACACGACTACTGGAAAAACCATAGCCTTGACTAGATGGACCTTCATTGGCAAAGTAATGTCTCTGCTTTTTAATATGCTGTCTAGGTTGAGCACAGCTTTTCTCCCAAGGAGCAAGCATCTTTCAATTTCATGGCTGCAGTCACCATCTGCAGTGATTTTGAAGCCCCTTCAAAAAATTAAGTTTCTCACTGTTTCCCCATCTATTGGGGTGCTAGAGAAATCTATTTCCTGCTGGGCCCAGAAACAGGGCAATTTTAGGAGCTCCTGCAGGCCATATCTTCTATTAAGAGGACCAGGAAGTGGTCCTCCACAGCATTAGAAAACATGAAACAAATGCACAGGGAAGAATAAACAGAAGAGATGAAGTGTGTTCTGCTGGCACTGGAGTTCCAGAGTCCCAACCCTGGGATTCCTTTAGACACTCCTGCATCTATCTTTACAGTAAATCTCACTTTTTGTTCATACCAATACTAGTCAGAATGGATTTCTATAACTTACAGCCAAAAGTGGCCTACTTACTGCAACTATCTTACTACAACTATCATTGACTCATATCATTTCATAAAGGAGCACTTTAACACCAAAGCCTCAGGAGGACTAGAACCTCAGATTTTTTAAAAGGGATATTTATATTTAATGACAGCTGTGTGCCAGGAACTAGTCTAAGTTCTTGGAATATACTGTTAAGACAAAAGAGATAGAAATCACTGTTCTAATGGGGCTTGCATTCTAATGAGAGTATATAGATAACAAAATAATATAAAAATACAAAGTCAGATATGAGAAACAACCTGCAAAAAAAAAATAATAATAATGGAAGGGGAAATGAGGATGGTGCCATTCTGACAGGGTGGTTCCACAGTAACGCTTATCTGAGAAAGTAACTGAACTGAAAAAGAAGTTACTTGGACTGAAACCTGAAATGATGAAAAGGAGCCATTTTGTCACATTTTAAGGCAATTCCAGGCAGAGAGAACAGACCTAAGTCAGGAACAAGCCATGGCATTTCTGAGGAGAGAAAAGAAGGGCCGTGTAGATGGAATACGGGCTTCCCAGGCAGAGCAGTGGTAAAGAATCCATCTGCCAGGGCAGGAGACCAGAGAGACTCCGGTTCGATCCCTCAGTCAGGAAGATCCTCTGGAGAAAAGAAATGACAACCTCCTCTAGTATTCTTGCTGGAAAATTCCATAGACAGAGGAGCCTAGTGGACTACAGTCTGTGCGATCACAACGAGTCAGACATGACAGAGCACATACGCCTCGGGTAGATGGAAAACAGTGAACAAGGGAGAATGCTAGAGAGAGTGGTGAAGGAGCAACTCATCTAAGAGGAAAAGCTGCAAGTCAGTAAAGTAAGTAGGAATCAGACCATTATAGGAACTAGTAGGCAGAGGAAACGATTTGAAAATAACCTGAGCTTTATGAGAAACTCACTACATTGTCCTTCTCATTTTGCTTTGCAGACCATTAGAAATTACTCCCCAAGAATTAAACACAATGTTGAGGTTGGCCAGGAATCTGCATTTCCTCAGCAGAAAATCTCTCTTATTGTAGTTATGAAATTTTTTAAGAAAAAAAAAATGTGAAGCCATCATAAAAATGAAGAAACTAGGAAAGGCGATAGAAACTACTTCAAATTCTATCCTACTCATTATACAGTGAATAAATCTACTACAATCAAAATTTTAAGAAGAATTTAAGTTCTTTTTAAGCTACTATAAAAATAATGTCCTTTGTTGAGTTATTAGTGAATTGGACACTAACAAAGTTAAATACTGTCAGAAGAGAAGATTAGAAACTAGAGTTTTTTCTGACTTTATTGTACCTCTTGAGAATAGCTTCAGCTTAATGGTCAACAAAGTTGTGAGTTTTGGTCTTATCTCTATTACTGTGATAAAGGAGAAACTTCCCCTATGTGGTGAAATTAGGCACAAAGGATGCTTCAATATCTCTCCCTCTGAAAGCTTTTTAAAACAAGAAACCAACCAGTTTAAAGAGGTTTGGACATAGTACACCTCAGAGAAGAGCAGTATTCTCTCCAGATTTTTTCCAGACAACTAATTCCTATGTACACAAAGCAAGTAATTAAGCCTGCACTGCTTCTAAGATTAATATCAGTAAAGTCAGATCTTTGAAAGCTCTAATATATTCATGAATCTCTTCTTTCACTGTGTTAGATGTTTAGCTAGCCCACCTAACAGTAGACCCAAAAGTAAACTGCTAAAAACACAATCTATAAAGAGAGGTACTTTTTGAGTGTGGTGTGAGTTAAAGAAATAAAAGTCATTTAGACACCTTGATCAGAACTCGATTCTAAGTGCATCTTCCTCAACACATTTCCAGTAGTTGGGCAAAGTGCCCAGGAATGATTAGCAGCAGTCTAGAGAGAGGGATACCATCAACCTAAATTGTGAAGTCTCCCCCCAGTGGTCACATACAAATAACTGGAAGAGTGAGAAAATCATTGCAGCTTCTCTAAGACTGACCAAAAACAATCTATACACAATCTGGGACCTACAGAGAAGAAATCAAATCTTTAATTCAATGCTAGCACCAAATCCGTAGAGACACCTTATATGCTTTTCTGCTCTATGTTACTCATAAATGTGAACACTATTTTTGGAAGGAAAGAACCTATAGGTTCTTTTTTCTCAGTACATTCTTTTTTTAGGAATAATTTAATGATATCCTCAAATAGCCAAGTATTTTATCTAATGGGCAGGTGTTCATCCCTCCTGAAATAAATATCAGGACATCCACTGCAAGTCAACCACATCTACCTGAAGTGAAGTTCTGATACAAATTTGGTCACTTACCAAATGAACCATCTTGTAAAGAAAATTATCACCAGTGCTAAAAACCTAAGTCTAACTTGCAAGATACTCTTTTTATAAAGCCACCTAACTCGGTAATTTATAATACAGAGAGTGACACAAAAAGTACAAATGGGTTCTCTTGCCCCTTTTAATATTTATTTTCTTAGTGTTTTTATAGTTAGGTTGCCTTTGACTGCCCCTAACCCTGTATTATTTGCAACTCTCAGCAAAAATATGCTGCTATTACTCACTTTTAACAAAGTTTGGATGTCAAAAATGTGAAGGGTATTTAATTAATACCTCGGTTATCTTCTGCTAATCATCCATTATTAAATGGTAAATTCTATAAAGGGGTAGTAAATACTCAAACAACTTCAATTTTCAAAACAGAGCACAGATAACATACATGGAGCCTCTCAATTATGATTTTCTTGGTTATCCCAAGCTTAAAAAGAGAGTGGGGGAAGAAGCTAAAGTAGCAGGCTGTGTAGTCTTCTGGAACAATTTCAGCCTGAAATGGGACTCAAGAAAAATGCAAACTGCTCCCACGAATGTTTAAGAAAAATATGATTCGTCAAGAAAAAATCCAACAGTTGGCCTAGAGAACAACAGAAAATGATTCTGTCTTATATAGAGCTACCAGACTTGCGTAAGCCCCCAAATTTTCCAGCGTTCCAGTTTCTTTCCAGTAAAGAAAGAAAAAATTCATTTTGAAAATCCAAGCGGAAAAGGAACTGAGCAGCATCAATTAGAAAAGGACAAACACATCCCAGAATTTTTTTTCATATTTAGTGTGCAATCTCTACAGGACAAAAACAGAGCCATTATAAATGTTACCACTTGTATATTATGTAACCCTAGTCTAAACTAAAAGAAGCATAGACCTTAAAAAGTAACACACTGTGCCAACGTATACTTAAAACATGAATTTACATATATGATAGATTTCAGATACAGATGACCTCAAAATGACACAACCCAAAAAAGTTCTTTGTTTACTGTAATCAGGCCTCAGAAGACTTGACTATAATCAGGCCTGATACAATACTACCGTGAGGTCCGTCGTTTCACCAACGTACCGCAACTATCTCCGCAGTGGTACCAGCGTGTTACCTCACCTAAAACAGTGGACAAACAGAAGTTTCCGAACGACCATTCGAAAGATTTCACGGGAAGAAATGGCTGCTAAATCATACGCCAACTGAAGAGCATTTTAACGCACCTCAAATGTTCCGAGCCATATAACAAGACGACCAATTGAGAAAGCATCAAGTAAAATTTCAACCATCCCCAAAGGCATGGAAGAGGAGTAAAACGTGGCTAGCTTGACCTTAACCGGCTGTTTTAAGTAATGCGGTGAATTTTCTGAGCTTCCCCATCAGCCTTCAATTACCTTTCTCTCCTACCCCCGACCCCTCTTTACGTGCCCCAGCTGATGGAAGTTGAATGGATGGAATCTCCAGCTGTAACCTCAGGAGCTGGGGAAATTGAGACGAAACTCCCAAGAAAGTGTTAAAAAGTCCTTCTGCAAAAAACACCCATCAACGAATCTACATCCTGTCATCACACCGACCATCGGCTCCCTCCTGGCGCTCTCCACCTCGCCCCCAAAAGCACCGCTCCACCCCCACCCCCCAAAAAAAACCCAGCACCTTTTTGGTTCCAGACCAACGTACTCAGAATCGGAGAGCACCGCCTCAGCTGCAAACGCCTCCGGAGCAGCGTGTGCGCGGCCGACAACCACTCTGGCCAAACAACTGGAGTCTCGTGGCAGCAGTACTTGCCCAACGCCTCCTCCCCCAAGAAGTCGGAGCTCATGAGGCAGCGAGAGGCCGGCGGAGCCGCCCCCGCTGGGGACCGACCCCGAAGGTTTCTGTCACGGCCACAACCGCCCCCGGCACGGCTCTCCATTCAAGTCTTAACGTCACTCCCGCCGCAGAGGGTGCCGGCGGCCGGAGGGAGTCCCGCGCCCCCAGCCCCAGCCCTGCCTCCGCCCGGGCCGCGCCGCCAAGCGCGTGGGGAGAGCCGGGCGCGGCGGCATGGGCCAGACACGTTGCCGCGCTCGGCCCGCCCGCTCGCCCGCAGCCCAGGAGCCGGGGGCCCGGCAGAGCGCGCCCCTCCCGCGCCGGCCGAGCGGAGCAGCCCCCGTCGCCCGGCCAAGCCCAGGTGCTGAGGGGGCGGGGTGGGGNTCGGGCTCGAGGAGGCGCCGCCGCCTCCGGGAAGCCGGGCCCCGCCTCTCCGGCCGAGGCTCAGAGACCAGGTGGAGCCCCCTCCGAGCGCCCGCAGACTGCGCCCGGGCCCGATGCGCCGCCCGCGCTCCGCGGCCTCTCCATGGTGTCCCCGGTCCTGGCCCCGAGCCCTGCGAGACGGTCACCAGACCCAATCCGCACCGGCCCTTCCAGGCCGAAATTGCCGCTGTCATTCAGCATTTACAGACGAGCAAGATACTCCCCCGGGCGTGAAAGAGGCTCCCCCGCCCCTTTCCAAGAGTTTACATTCAAAGAACCCACCAGCCGTGGGGCACAAAGGATAAATAGACCTCGAAGAAAAGCCTCCGGATAGTGTGCCTCCTCCCCGTTCACACACACGCCCCTGGTTCTGATGTGTATTTGGCAGGTTTTACAGCGCTGACGAGGTCCTTCATGTTCTCCCAGCCCAACCAGGATGATTCACACCCGAGGAAACGGACGGACACGAGCTCTTTTCCTAGCACCGAGGTTCCCGTGGAATTCCCGGTCGATTCCGCAGGACACTCCCAGGACACCAGTTGTTCGGATCCTCCCAAACACCTGGTCTTCCCAGGCCTCGCAAGTGGGAGCTGCAGCATTCTTTCCATCTCGACTCTGCAGAGAGCATGATGAACTGGGATAAGTGTCCGGGTGTGCAGATGACACATTTTGACAGGAGTGCAGATTTAATTTTTCAGTTGAAAGGAACTGAGCAATGCAGTGCAGCAGAGGCTCGGGCTAGAAAAACACAGCGAGGCAATCAGAACTTCCAATTCCTTTAATACCTATCTAATCCCGAGAGGTCTGTGAACCCTGGGACCTGTGATGGGGGCTTTCGGCAAAGCTGTTGTGTTCCTCCTAAAACTGAAGAAACCATGATCATAGTATTTACATTTTACAAAATGTTTACTGCAGTCTTTTCAAACTGTGTATGTAGAAAGTGCAGGTAAAACTTGACAAGGGAGGAACATCACATCAGGGGGCTTCCTCCCTGCAGCCTTTCCTGGCTCCTCTGGGGCACAGTTGCACTGAACTGCACAAACAGGCATTTGATAAATGTTTGCAATACGGCCCTGTGGATTCAAAGATGGACTTTCAAGCTGTGTTGTCCACCCCTCCCTCCCATCTCTGTGAGTGTGGTTAGTGCAGAAGGGTTTGGATGAGGGGTATTAAGAAGGCCCAGTCCCCTAAACAGTGATTTTTCTCTTAGCCTCAACCAAGCATCAAAGATTAATTTACTTTTTCATAAGGATCATTAATTTTGCAAACCAACATGCAGGGGGAGTTTGTAGACTATTAATTTAGAACCTTCTTTCCTGGAACAGCAACCCTGAGGAAGGGAAATTGGAGGCGTTTGAGGACACCTGCATGTACTAAGCAAAGAAGGCAATGGCACCCCACTCCAGTACTCTTGCCTGAAAAATCCCATGTACGGAGGAGCCTGGTAGGCTGCAGTCCATGGGGTTGCGAAAAGTCAGACATGACAGAGCAACTTCACTTTCACTTTTCACTTTCACGCATTGGAGAAGGAAATGGCAACCCACTCCAGTGTTCTTGCCTGGAGAATCCCAGGGACGGGGGAGCCTGGTGGGCTGCCGTCTATGGGGTCGCACAGAGTCGGACACGACTGAAGTGACTTAGAAGCAGCAGCATGTACTAAGGGATACAGAGTAACTTTGGGCACATGTGGAGCCTCCCTCCCTTGTGATCAGCAAGATGAAATAGAAGGTGCCCTGGGCCCAAGAGTGATGCAAGGATGCAGAAGGAAAGAATGGGGTTTCTTTTTTTTTTTTTTTCTAGTAACAGTGAGTTTTATTGTAAAAATGCATGCGATTGTCTCCTCCTTTTTTTTTCCATTTCTTTTTTTAAATTTTTTTTATTTTTTATTTTTTCCATTTATTTTTATTAGTTGGAGGCTAATTACTTTACATCATTACAGTAGTTTTTGTCATACATTGAAATGAATTAGCCATGGATTTACATGTATTCCCCATCCCGGTCCCCCCTCCCACCTCCCTCTCCACCCGATCCCTCTGGGTCTTCCCAGTGCACCAGGCCCGAGCACTTGTCTCATGCANCCTCCTTGCTAACCTTTCTAATTCTAGTCCTTGCTTGCTTACTTGCAATTTTCCCGACACTTAGAGAAGTACCTCTTACTGTAGGCTTTTAACTGGAATCATCCAGAGAACTTAAACAATCAAAAAAAAAAAATACAAAAACAGCAATACTGATGGCTGGGTCCCACCTCTAGGTTAAATCGTTCTGCCCTACAGTCTGGGCACCAGGATTTTTCAAAGCTCTCCAGGTAATTCTAATATGCAGTCAGAGTTAAAAACTACTGAAACGAGTCATCTTCCAAACATTTTTTACCAAGTCTTTTCAGAATATTGGGGTGGCTCCAAATTACCTCAGGTAATCAAATTAAAATACCTAATCATGTGCCATAAGACTCTTTGCCAACTGACTAGAATAGTCCTCTTTCAAAACAGCTTAAATTTATCTCCTTCCTAAAGCTTCCCCAGATTAGTCTCACCTGGCTGCCTAAAGATCGCTGTTCCCAATTCTCTGAGCATTCCAACTGGCAATGGTTTACAAGCCCTTGGACCACAGTTGATTGTGTGTACTATTGTTTTAATCTCTCTTTCATAGATATCTGTCAGAGGCTTTACTTGTAATCTAAATCTCTCTGAAGTCCCACTAGGTCAACAGACAATCTCAAAATAAACAGAAATGTTATTCTTAGCAGCACTTCCTCCTACCTACCAGAAAGAACATTCCCTGACACAGGGCAGTTCATTTTTTTTTTTTTTTAATCATTGCAATTAAAGTCAACAGTTCTAAGAATTTGCATGTTTTGGGATTTTTTTTTTTTCTTAAGAAAATAAAAATAGCTTGCATAGCTTGATCAATCACCCTGTCTTTTTTCCACCATTTACTTTAGGCTTTGGAATTTGGCTTCCACACTCACCTCTTAATTGAAACTATACTGAGCCATAAGTGACATTTTCATTCATGTGTCTATTCATTCAGTCATTTACCAGTGGTAAATGTTGGTAATAAAATAATTAACAATACCAAATTACCCCTACCCAATGGTGGAGAATAATGTCAGAAGAAGGCAACCCATAGTCAGCGTTAGTGTTAGTCACTCAGTCATGTCTGACTCTTTGTGACCCCAAGGACTGTAGCCTGCCATGCTCCTCTGTCCTTGGAATTCTCCAGGCAAGAATACTGGGATGGGTAGCCATTCCTTTCTCCAGGGGATCTTCCTGACCCAGGGAGTGAATCCAGGTATCCCACATTGTAGGCAGATTCTTTACCATCTGAGCCACCATGGAGAATAATAAGTAATTACATGATCATGTGATAAATGCATTATTGAGAGTCTTAGGCAGACACAATAGGGAGAGTTTCTGCTTAATGTTCAAGCAATCCAACTCCTCTGCAGCGTTGGAGGAGTTAACCTCCATGCCCCTGCCTTTTAAAGCTCTCCTTCTATTTCCCTGTATACCCCAGGACTTCCTTCTCCTTCACTGATTATTCTTTCTGTGCCTCTTAACTTGCTGTGTCATCTCCTCCACTTCCTAAATGAAAATGTTTCACTTAAGAATGGGAAAGATTTTTGAGGGACAAAGTGTAGACAAAGAAGTGATCCTTGTTTCTCTCAAGAATCTCATCAATCCTTGTTGTGTATTTGCTCTGTCATGTCTGACTTTTTGTTACCCCATGGGATTTCCTAGGCAAGAATACTGAAATGCGTTGCCATTTCCCCCTCCGGGGGATCTTCCTGACCCAGAGATCAAACCTGCATCCCCTCCACTGTTGTTGTGCGATCGCTCAGTCTTGTCCAACTCTTTGCAACCCCATGGACTACAGCACTCCAGGCTTCCCTGTCCTTTACCATCTCCCAAGTTTGCTCAAACTCATGTCCATTGAGTCAGTTGATGCCATCCAATCATCTCATCCTGTATCATCTTCTTCTTCTCCTGCCTTTAATCTTTCCCAGCATCACGGTCTTTTCCAAAGATTCAGGTCTTTGCATCAGGTGGCCAAAGTATTGGAGCTTCAGCTTCAGCACCAGTCCTTCCAATGAATATTCAGGGTTGATTTCCTTTAGGATTGACTGGTTTGATCTCCTTGCAATCCAAGGGACACTCAAGAGTCTTCTCCAGCACGAGAGCAGGTGGNCACGGGGTCGCAAAGAGTTGGACACAACTGAGCAACTGAACTGACAGACTGATACTGGCATGTATTACTTATTTATTTAAAAATAAAAGAGAGAGAGAGATGGAAGAGCTGAACAAAGTCTCCAACAATTTACATAACTTGATGTAAAGGGCTTCCCTGGTAGCTCAGCCGGTAAAGAATCCACCTGCAATGCAGGAGACCCCAGTTCCACTCCTGGGTCGGGAAGATCCGCTGGAGAAGGGATAGGCTACTCACTCCAGTCTTCTTGGGCTTCCATGGTGGCTTACCTGGTAAACAATCCGCTGGCAATGCAGGAGACCTGGGTTCAATCCCTGGTTTGGGAAAATCCCCTGGAGAAGGGAAAGGCTACCCTCTCCAGTATTCTGGCCTGGAGAATTCAGTCCATGGGGTCTCAAAGAGTCAGACACACAACTGAGCGACTTGCACTTTCACTTCACTTTAGGTATGTTTTCAACGTCCTGTTGAATATGCCCATCAAGTTTATCCATTCACGGTT